GGGGGGGGGGAATGATATTTTCGCCAAAATAGTGCTAGCCATAACTAATTAGTGTATGTACTCTCGCCTAAATAATATTGGTGTAAATAAGTTTTTTCCGAAAGTACAATGCCTAGGAAAGTAGACTAGTAGAGTTACTATTTTCCAAATTTAACTTACTAGTAATCAGATAAGCAAACAATATTTTCTTTTCATGTTAATTACAGAAGCAAACAATATTTTCTTTTATAAGTTTGTTTAAATATTCAGAATATTGTGTATTTTCATGTTTTGTAAATTTAATCTCCAAAAAGTATTGCACCAAAAAAAAAAAAAAATCCAAAAAGTGGAGCAATCAATTTTGGAAGTTTGACTTTCATGTTGTAGAGGAAGTAAGTGTAAGTTTGATATCAATTTGATTTTGTCCCATTATATATTGGTGAGTCTCAGTATATTCGTCGCTGTTTAGCACGTTTCATGTGAGAGCCGGAATCTATATACATGTGATTAGTATTACTCCCACGACTGTGTTCAACAAAGAACATGAGAAAATCTTAAGACTCAAGCAGTTCTAATTTCTTATTATTACAATTCGACTTGTAAGTTTATTAGCATGTGAGGCTGATTATTTTATGATTTACTTATTTTATCAACTTTCTATTAAGTATATTATCCTTAACGGTATTAACTTATTAATACACTGCATAATTTTTTTTCCAGAACCATGCTATAAATAGAAGAGAAATAAAAAGGACTGTCTGATGCACAAAGTATTCTGTATTTATGTAGGGTCCGCAAAAGGGCCGCATTCGAGGAATCTAAGGTAGATAGTCTAATCTAATATAAGTGTTAATGACTACTTCCACATTATGAACCCCTAACCAATAAGTAGTACGAAAACAACTTTATGAGAAATAAATACGAGAAAAGATGTAGATGGATACTAGAAGAGATGTACATGAGTTAACCGATAATAGAAGAGAAATAAAAAGGAAGCTTTCCCTATTTATATAGGGTCCATGGAGGATCGTATTTGAGGAGTGTGATGTAAATAATCTAACTTAATGCAATGATTAATGACTGTTTGCATAGTTTGAACCCCTGATATATACATGAGTTAACTGATAGTAGTAAATGAATTACTATTACACATTAATTTAGTTTCTCAATTTGCCCCAGCAAATCCATGAAACCTTTTATCTGATGTGTAAAGTGAAGGTGGTGATGACTAGGGAAGATCAAAATTAGGCCAGGGAAAGAGGTCCTTGTTTTTAGAAAGAGACAACTTTCATCAAAAGTCACAAAATACTAGTTGAGGTTTTGATGGTTTCTTTTGTCTTTTGTCCTTGTTGCTTAATCTAATTATGACATTAACTACTTTATTCTCTTTTCTTCTTTCTCTCTCCCCATTTTTCTTCTTCTTACAACTATAGGAATCCTTTTTGACTGTGTATAATTACAGCAAGTTAAGCTAGGGTTGTACACCAAATTTTATCCCCTAGTTAATGTTACTGCTCTTTCTTGGACTTATATGAGCTCTTTTATTTTTCATGAGTTTAATATCTATGCAGTGATGATGTAAATTTATAAAAAGAAAATTAAATAAATATTAATTAGTAATATATTAAAAGTGATAACTAATCTATCACATGTTAAAATTTAATAATAATTAAAAAATGTTTAAGAGTATACAACATAAATCTATTTCTTTGTTGTTATGATTACTTTTAACTCTGTGGTAGTTACTTTGATGCTTGAGACCACTTTCCCCATGTGATCCAAAGCAGTTTGTGGTGTTTGGTTCTAACCTTCACTTCTTTTAACAACCACTCACCTTGTCTTTGAGTGGTGACAAAAATGTCCATTTTGACTCAAATTTGAACCATTTAATGGCCTATTTTAAGAGCTTTCCGTCAGTATCAGAATTTCTTGAGATCTGATTCTAGTTCTAGTTAGATGCTACTCCCTCCGATGCAAAATAAGTGATTTTTTTTGGATGTTTTCACAAAGATTAAGAAATCCATCTTTTAATATTAATTAACAATGGAAGGCCAAAAAATCACTTATTTTGGACCGGAGGGAGTAGTCAGTAGTCAAAATCCAGAATTCCTATATCCAAATGACCAAAAAAGAGTTGTTACACTGATGTGGCGAAAATACTTAGGTAGGTTTTGAAAAGAAAGACAATGTTACTTTATCATTGTTTTTTATTCTTTATTTTTTTTATTTCTAGATGTACCGCAATACTTAATTCAAATACATAAATTCTCCTTTTGAAGAACAACAATTGTGAGGAAAAGTTGCGGATTTAGATTTTTGTTAGGAAGTATATTTTTTAGTAACTTTGATTTGACTTTTTTTTTTCCCCTATCAAAAAATGTAGTTTCATTTCTGAAAACGATTTTTTAGAAAAAATAAAGACGATGGTTTTGAAATGTAAATTTTTTCCTTAAAGCCTTGATAACAATATTGACCCGCAAAAGTGATGCGCACTTATTGACTGAATAGGGAAGTGTCCAAGAAAGTTTTTATTGGCTCTACATCATATTTTCCATGAAAAGAATGAATAACATCTTGGAGTTCCCTACCGCACTCATGCTTGGAAATCAATGAATCGTGGATGCACTTCTTTCACGTTAGATGAAAATCATTGATAACGAGAATAAACCTTTATTCATATGTTTATATTTTTGTTTATCCGTAAAACAGTATAGTTAAATTTGTACCATGAATTTTAGACACGTGAGTTAAATTAATCCGAAAATATAAAGTAACAAAGAGCAAAAGTACATTAATTGAGAATATTTGAAGAAAATAAAAGCCCGACTTTGAATTGAGCTTCTCCGGAGGCAAGAGCAAGAACAAGAACAAGAACAAAGTATTTAGCAAAATGATGTTAACAGAAAAAGAGAGTAGAGTAAGCCTTTTTTTCCATACAAATATTTCGTCCCCTTCCATGAATACAAATTTCTCTATTTATAGCTAAATAAGAGGAGACAAGATCCCTAAATCAAGCTCCTCTTTAAAGTGAATAAACACCCCTCTTGATCGCCGTATAACGATTGAGTGTAAATACTAAGATTCTTTAAAACGGCTGCTCCTTTAATGTTGCCTTATTCAAGCGGTATCTTGCTTTCAAATTATTCTCTCTGGTCTTGATGTCATCGAGACTCATACAACACCGGCCACATACTTAGATCCGACGTCAGTTATTTGCTGACTTATTTCCTACGTGTCTTTAGTGCTACGTGTTCACTTGAAGAACATCCACTTGTCTGTGTTCACTTAGACGAAAATCCACCCGTCATATGCTAATTTTACTCAATACAATTTGAATGATAAAATGATATTTGTGCTAGTAATAAATATTTAATACAATAGTCAAATTACTTAAAGTAATAAATACTTAATACAATAGTCAAATTACGCAAGAACTGGCTCGAACAATGTTGTTGTTAGGTAAAACAAATCGATGAAACTTTGTTTTATGATTTGACTTTCAAAGCTTCACAACCATATAATTTGCTATGCCCTTAATAAAAGTTGGGTTGTCTAATCCTTGGTGATTCAATAGTATATTGACGGTAATCATAACATTGGGAAAGAAGGGAATGATCTGCAATTTTTCTCTCTTTGCAACTCATCATCAATAATTGAAGGATAAGCCCTTGGAATAATGGGATCTCTTGGGGTCCTCAATGTTTTGGAAAGTTATCTTTTGCTCCATTAATCCTATAATCATTCACTTAAATTTGATGGTTCAAGTGTTAAAGTTTGTCCTGATTTTTTTTTAAAATTTAATTTACTTGTTATTTGAAGGAAGGATAAAATATTTATCATAATTGATTTTACTTTTCATAAAAGAAACGTACAAACCTCTTCAATATATGACAGATTCGTTATAAAAAAAAATTTGTGAATCTCTATAAACTGAATATCCCTCCTTCACAAAATAATATAGTAGCATACACAATATAGCCATCCAATAAATTAAGGGAAGAATTATTCTCTAATTAACTTCTTTTAATATTAGTAGATTGGTGTATGTCAATTAACCAAAAATCATATTAAAGTATATTATGCCCTTTTTAGTATTTATTCTCTTTGTCCTTTGATTTGTCGTCCCAAAAAATTTACTTTGTTAGCTTTTGCATGATTCCTTGTTATTTTCGATCCCTAAAACCAAAAAAGTTCAAAACTCTCATTAATATGAGATAACTTGCTTGATAGTTTCTAATTGGAAAAGAAAATTGAAGTAATAGAATCAAAGGTTAGATTCTTCTCGTTTTAAGACCAAGCACTTGTTTCTTCTCCATCCTTTGAAAAGGTCGGTTGCAAGTCTAGGAAAGTACTGAATGACAACCTCCTAATTAATTATATATATTTCTAAAAGTCGATCTTTTTCTTTAAGTAGAAAATCTCGTTTCTCCAACAATCTAAAGTAATGTACATACAATTTTTGCATCTTGTCAACTAACTATTCTGTTTATTTAGTTTTACTAAACCTCTCAAATTTGTAATCCTTCCATTAATTATTGTGAAAAAGTTTGAGCATCTAAGCTATGAGTGAGATTGTCCAAGATTAATATAAACTCTTTTGAATCGTTACACAATTAACGATGAACAAATGATATCTTTTTGTTGTTGTTGTTGTTGTTATTGTTATTTTGACAAAGTTGCAAACAGAAAAGAGTAAGCCCAACATGCGAAGCAGTGGATGTGTAGTAAAGTTAGTGGTTCAATTGGCTGAACTGAGAAAAGAGAAGACCAAAACAACTCAAATACGCTAGTGTCAAAGTCCATACAGTTAGGTAGGATTTCTCCCAAAGAGTAGATTAGTTTGTGAGATTTGCATTCTGGTTGTTCCAT